CAGCGGGGCAGAGGCTTGAAGGGCGCAGGCTGCCGCCTCCGGGCTTGTGGGTTGCGCGGGGCCTGCGCCGGGGTAGCTCAGCCCGTTGCAGGCCGCAGTTTGGGAGGCTGTCTCTGGCCTACCCCGTTACCGTTTTTCAGGTGTCCAAGCAGTGACAGCCTCAACCATGGGGTACCGCCGTCGTGTAGTGTTGGGTCCTCGTGGTGTGTTATCGCTTCTCCTTGGAAAACAAGCAGGGACTACTAGTAAGATCGTGCAAGCAGCGTTCAGTGATGTGTGTTTTGTGTGTTAACATTTCCTTTTCGTTTGTTTTTCTTTTAACAGATGGCTCACAGTGAGCAGAAACGGATAGTCCAATTCACCGGATTTAAAAAAGAAGAGAAAAAGGCACTACTCAAAAGGCTGTTAAAACTGGACTGTGTTTTTTTAGATAATAAGGTATTGTTCACTAAAGTACCTGATGATTAGAGCAGAAAGAAAAACCCGAACCTTGAAAGAAAGGACACTGCAGTAGTTCTGTATGAATAGCTAAGAAAGTTAAGCTGTTTTCCAGTGATACAAGTGTGGTTTTTGTTTTGTTTTATTAGAAATATGGAAATTGTACACATCTTATAGCAAAAAAGCTGTGCAAGAGTGAAAAGTTCTTAGCTGCCTGTGCTGCAGGTGAGTAAAAGATTTGCTGTAAAATTTCATAGGACTATAACATGGGACTGGAAAGGACCCTTTTTCTAGTTACCTGTTTACATTTAATGAACTGTCTTACGAACTCTCATTCTTCTTGTTCCATTAGTTCTGATTTTCAGTATTATGTTCAAGTTCCGATTTACTTGGTTTTGGTTTGGATTTTTTCCTAAATGATATTCCTGTCATATTCTTTTATTTAATCTGCATCTGTTCCCGAACAGAGAGCTTTAATATGTAATAGTTAGATCATGAAGTCATATCCAAGTGGTATGGGCGCTTGAAAATGGATTGCTTGAAAAGGAGGCAAAGAGAGTATGGACACCTGTAGTCGCCATGGATTTTTGACACCAAATTCACACGCAACATCCATTGGCAAAGGTTACTGTAAGTTCCTCTTTATGCAGCAAGAGAAAATTACAGGCTTTTGCCATTCGGACACAAGTCTCTGGTCTTTCCTCTCACTTTTCTTTTACCTAAGGCCTGATGCTGAAATCCCATACGTAAGCAACTAAAATGCTTTTAGGATAAGAATTCTGCATCTTAAGATTTCCTTATAGACTGATTACCTGGAAGGATTGTATCATGAGTATAGAAAATTTTGTTGACTTATGAGATTTCACGATACTGATTTATTAAACGTGATCTTTATTTTACCTATATTGTATTAGGCCAGAGTGTTAAATCAATTTTTAGGATGGACAATCTTAAATTTAAGAGACAACAGACACAAAAGACTAAACGTAGATTTGGGTTTAAAGATACATGTAAATGTCTTGAATTTACATTTGTACCTACCATATTAGTAGGCATTTTCGATCATCTATCACTACCAGAATGTAGGTGTGAGTTTATATGTATACACATATATATAAACATAGACACGATTGCTTGAACTACTGTAAAATTCTGATCCTACTCTTATCAAAAAGGAAGTAGACCAAAAGTTTCAATGAGGGAAACAATATTAAAATGCAGATAGATTTGTGGCATAACTCTTTGTTTTAAGTATTACAAACCTTTGAGTTAATGTTTTGTTATTTAAATCCCCTTTTGGGGATTTAAAAGATCTGGAGATGTTTTCTTGAACTGAGTGGAAATGGTATCTGTAGTGTCCACATGGCAATGTAAAACTCTTGTCATGTTTCTATACTTGCAAATCTTCCCCAATACCATCTAATACTTTTTAATCCTGGAAGAGGTGCTATTTTCACATAGTCGTTGCTCTTGCCCTTGATGGCAGAGACTGTGTTCATTCCTACTGCAGTTTTTCCCAAATAAGTGTAAAAAAATTGTGTTCATACCCATTTAGAACTCCCTAGAGGTGAACAGAAAATACTAACAAGGTTGCCAGTCTTCATGGACTTCCTAGCTGACAGAAGTTTTGAGATGGCAACTTTGAAATAAAGTGATTTTAATACAGGTTGTGCATGGCATACCTTTTCCAGTCCTAAGTCTACTAGTACCTAGGCTAGGTTATGTAGAAGTACCATCTGTGCTTCTGCACTGAGACATTCTGCCAGTCAGCCCTGCTGTTCTGTGAAACCAATTAGGTTCACACAATTCCAGTCAATTTCTCTTACAGTGTCTTCTGTAGGTAGTTTCAATACAGGAGCAGGGTACTAACCACAGCTCTTGACCTGAACCTGTAAGAAGAGAGAGAGACAGAAAAAGGGGAAGATCATTACATACAGTATCAAACGCATACATGCGGAAGATGAAAGAGGAGAGGCGGAGGAGGTGGAGCCAAGGGATGAGAGAAAAGGATGTGAAAAGAAGAAAGGGGAAAGACAAAAGTCTAAAACCGTATCCCCCTAATATTGCTATTCACTACACTTGCAGTGCAAGTAATATTAAAAATATATAAAAGAGACAGCTTACATGCTAAAACCTTTGTTCCTCTTTTTCGTATTGGTCGCAAAATATTTCTTCATTTTACTACATTTATAAAAGTGCCAAATTATATTAAAAATAAAGGGCTAAGCAAGGCTCTGTCGTAAGAACAAAATTTGGGAAGCTGAAAAATTCCATTCGCAGATTTTTGAGGAGATAGACAAGTATTTTATCGAGAAATGGTAAAAGGTACTTCATCGTTTAAAGAAAACAAAACGATCATTTTCAATGGCATTTCTGATTCCAAAGCGTGAAGACGAGAACTCTTGTAGGAAGAAGTTTTTAAAATGGTACTTATAATTCCAGCTTTTATTTGCGCAAGAAAAGTTGAAGTTAATTTTGTATTAGATCTTCAGTTGATTGCCATTTGTCTGCACAAAAAATCTTTTGTGGTTGACAGTTCATTTGCTTTTTAGGAAAGTGGATACTAACTAAGGAGTACATAATTAATAGTGCCGAAAGTGGCAGATGGCTTGATGAAACAACGTACGAATGGGGATATGAAATTGAAAACGACAGCCATTATTCACCTCAAATGCAATCTGCACCTAAAAGATGGCGCGAAGAACTGACATGCTCTGGTGCTGCAGGGGCCTTACACAGATGGAAGGTTGTCCTCGCTGTTAAGGAAGGTGATAAACGAATGGCGTCTATTAGAAGGTAGGAGGATATGTCTTAAAGCTTAAATAATGAACGATGGAACACTTACTGTAAGGTTGAACACATTTTTGTTCTTCAATCCCAGTTATTTTGGTCCATAACAACCTCCAGCTCTTCAAATGCTGAATTGTTTTCGTTAATATACTTACGTACTTTTTGTAAGAAAAGGACTTTAAATCTTTAATTTCACTGCTTTTCTTGCTTTCTTTTAGTGTAGTGTCAAAAATAACACGCATTCATGTATGTTTCCATCTTAAGTAAACTGCTGACAGAAACTTTCTTCATGAGGCAAGATAGAGTCTTACGGTTTTTTACGAGTCATGGTTTGTTTTGTGCGGACGTTGCGTTCGAGTAGTAGCTGGAACAGGAGACATTACTTCACTTGGGTGGGTGACCTGAGCCAGCTGTGAACTCTCTGTCAGGGATCTGGGCCACACTGTGACTGACCTGATCCATTTGTGTGTCACATCTGTGCAACAGCTTGTAGTGCTGCAACGCGTGTTTCTGATACAGTGTAAATACAGATAGTTAAGAAGGGAAAGGACAAAAGTATAAGGGAAAAGGAAAACAACTGAAGTGCAAGAATTCCGTGAGTACAAGGGTTTTTTTTTTCCCCCATGTTCTTCCTCCACATTTGGATTCCATGGTATAATTACTACATTGGACCGCGAACAGAGCATGTTAAGTAATGTTTGCTTCTGGTACAGTAAAAGCAAACATACCCTGACACTGTTTCAGAGCCTTACATTCATTGCAGCAGCAGGTACTGTCCTACTCTCCTCCATTGTTGAAATTCCAGTTGGTTAGGAGCTCTCCAGTCTGTGTCTGCTGGAGATGCACGAGCAAGAAGGGAAGTGCAGTTTGACTGGTTGATGGTGGTGCGGGGCTGCATGCTGCATCACAGAATGACTGTCTGTCTGCAGTTCATAGAGACAAAGTGAGGTGTAGCTGAAGTTACCATCTTCTGCTCTTGCCAGCTGAAGACATTCTAAGGATACTATTTTCTTGGCTGAGCAAAAGAGTTTACTGTGCGCTGTCTTGCAGAAGAGTGCGCTCATCCTGCTACCCTTGTGAAAAATGCTGTTTCTTTCTCCATAAGAACTGCTTATGCAGCATGATAACACTATTGAAATGCTGTCTTGCTCAACTCTCTGTTCACAATAGAAATAACCTTTAACGGGAACTACATCAGCGAGACAGGTGAACAGGCAGTTTTGTGGAAAGAATCTCTTTTTCCAGACTGTTTCCCATACACCAGCATGGGCATCCTTTTACTTGGTTAGAAAATGCTGAAAGGTGGATGTTTTTTGTCTCTAGTGAGTACTGTTTTCATTCATGAAGACTACTGTAGCCTTGGGGAAAGACTGATTTTTCTGTAATATTTACAACACTGCCTTTTTTCCCCTCTGTGCTTTTCCTGCTGTTAGTGCCTTAGCTGTTGGATGGGTAAGTGTGTGAGACCAGCATCGTTTTCTTCTTACATACTTGGGTTAATAAAAATAAAAAATATATCCAGCATGTCAAGAGCCCCTATTCCTTCAACCATGTTTTTTGTCTGGTGCCTTTTCTAAAAGATCAGAGTAGTTGCAGCTGTTCAACTCTGGAAATTGCCCATCGGGAAACTCTTGCATGCAGTGGTGTCCCAAAGACAAAGAAATCTGTTTTCTATGTACAATACTGGACAGCACCAAGTGCTGTAAATTATTCCAAAATGAATTAAAAAATGTGTATTTGTGTTATGAAAATACAGTGTTATGTTTCAGAAAAGCAGTGTTCCATTTTTGATAAACCACTTAATTTATTGCAAAACTTTATTGAAAGACCATCATCATTGTGGGGGACATAATGCAATAAATTATAGCTGCTGTCACCAAATTTGATCTTTGAAAAAGTGCACAGATAACGTTTTCTGTCAGATACGTAGGAGGTATACATTGATTTCAATTAACAGTGTTAAATTGTGAAGAGAACATGTCTTGTTAAGTGAGTTCTTTTCTTTCCTGAAAGCTATTAAGTGCCCTTTTGACCTCCTAATGAAGGCTGGTCAGTGCCATACGTCTGGAACCCTTATTCTTTTGCACTTGCATGCTTGTAATTTGTGAATGATAATGTAGTTTTAGGCAGTATTAATATAACATAGTAAATACATCTTTCTAAATATGTTTATTTAGAGTTCTTGAAGCTGGAAAAGCAACCATATGTCCATCTCAAAATGCAGAGCACAATATAACTCATATATTCATCAATAATAACACTTTTCTTATGCAAGACAAAAAAAGTCTCTCTGAAGCTCGATATTACCCTTTCCAGTATCTAGGAGAGTACCTTTTTGAGGTAAGTAAATTAAAAAACATGTCTTACTAATACCTTATTATTATTACTATAAATAATGCGGCATTAAGAATATATTTATTGTTATAGGCAATGGGCACAGACAGAAACACAGGAGGTTCTGCCTGAAAGTCAAGAAACGCCTTTTTTTTTACTATGAGAGTGGTGGAGCACTGGGACAGGTTGCCCAAAGAGGCTGTGGGGTCTCCATGCTTGGTGATATTCAAAAGCCATCCATGCATGGTCCTGGGCAACTGGCTGTAGGTGGCCCTCTTTGGGCTGGGGGTTTGGACCAGATGATCTCCAGAGATCCCTTCCAACTTCAACTGTTCCGTGATTCTGTAACAGAAAAATTGTCTTTCCAAAAGTAGTGGTTTGTCTCAGACCAGAAAAAATAACACCAAGGAAGCATACATTATTGCTTCTTCCCCTTCATGTTCTTCCTTTGCTCCTGCTTTGCGCTGGAAAAATGAATTAGGCTTCAGGAGGAAGTTCCAGTGTAGGTGACTATCAACTACACAGTTATTTGCAAAATACCAAGAAAAAAAATACTATTTTTTATTTACATTCTCTTTATTTTAGTAAGGATTTCAAATGTGTTTATGTATCTATCTGTCTACCTATGTATGTGTGTGCATGTATATATTTTACTGGGTTTGGCAGTATTGTAATGCTATCTTCATGCTTCAAGATCTATGTAATAACTTCTTTTGTCAACAGACCTCAATTCTACCTTTTTTTCATGACGTTATAGAAAGACTATGGTAAAATAGTCTGTAGATAATTTTGTTTTAGTTCAGATTCTTAACTCAAAATCAGTTTGCTAGCTGTCCCTCATGGGTAGGAAGAGCTGGTTGTTGCAATGTGAGTCTTGTAAGGGAACGGTGTACTAGGCAGAGAAAATTCACTTAGGCTACTTCTGTGCTAGGAGTCTAATGCAAGCTGGTCACCTGTATTCCGTTTTCAGTGAATGCACTGAGCTGGATGCTGCAAGAATTATAATTTCCTAAAACAGTTGTATGAATCGCTATCTGAGCATGCCTTTAACTTGATGTTGCTGTAGAAAGATCATTCCGTGCTTGTAGACAAAATTAGTTTAAATTCATGTTATTTAAAGATTTCATAAACAGCCAGCAAGTCTGTGAGTGTAGATTAGCATGTCAAGAGGACTTGTGAAGAATGTCTTATATACCAACACTTTATATGTTGTAATGCTTCTCCGTTTGCAGAACTCTCATCCAGGGAGTCAGAAGGGATGTAATTGTCTGCATTTCAGAAAATGTTATGAGTCCTTGCAACTCAAATCACATGATGCTTACATGTGCAAAGACTAGATTCTACTTTGTCCATTTCCATGTTAGAAAACCTGTTGCCATATATGACAAAGTTTTCTTTCTCTTTCACTGGTCAAAAGTGTTAAATTCTTCAGAATGCAAGCTCTGCATTTCTTGGTTGGTAGAAGAGGATTCTCCAAGGTCCCTGTAATAGCTTTTTTCTGTTAGCTGATCTAGAACATGAGACAGTACATCATCAGATCCACTAAGACATGAGGACCTGGATGGACCTTATTTGGAGAGAGAAGGCACAGTAAAAGTTGTCATTCCAGAGAGACAGAGTTTTTTGTTGGACTGGCTAAGTCAGATGAAGCATCCAGTACATTATCAAATGGTTCAGATTGTTAAGTTTACCATTCAGCTCCAAAATTGGATCAGGAGTTAAATTTACAGTGATGCAAAAGAGAAGGCAGAGCAAGAAAAGCAGATTATTTCACTTTCATCTTTCCATCGGAACCGTGGGGTAACATGGCACTGTTCAGTTAATTTTGTTGTATGTGAGGAATTCACTGGAACTAGAATTTTTTCTTGCTATTTGCTTTGAGAGATGCCTCGTGATTTAAAGTTCTTTGCTTGCAAGATGCGCTATTCACTATTGACTCAGATGCACTATTCAGAACTTCTTAGTATTTTGACCTGGAACTACTCGAAAGGCCTCAGAAGATTCTTTTAGTCTGGTAGTTGCTCAAACTGTGCGATGATTTTAGTCAGCTGCTACATGAAAATACTACGTTTGCAAGCACGTAGGAGCTAAAACTGTGTTTGTTATTAGGCATAACCTACTTCATTTGAAAATCCTTTGGATTCTTCAGATCATAGAATATACTTTGCCTTTCCTATTTTAAGGAGCAGTAAAGCTGTTACAGAAGGGTGAGAAGAAGGTTGAAAGGCCTTAATGTTTACACCCTGAATACACACATCAATGTGGGATCTCAGTCTAGTGCTTAGTCTCTTAATGAAACTTGTTCAGGGAAACTGTTCTCTATTATACCTTTCAGCTAAGATAGAAGTTTACATTTAATAGAGGAATGAGTGTCAAGTTTTTATGGCTACCTCACCTTTTATTGATCTCTATGAGAATAAAGTGTTTCTTGCTATGCACCCTGAATTCCTCCCAGGTGTGATAACAGGTTTCCATCTTAACCAGTCCATTAACTTGCGCGTATCTTTTTTTCTTAGATTTCATTAAAGGAACTCACCTCAGAGGCCAAGACAGCATTAGCTTTCTATTTAAATGCATCTAAAGAACTCAGAAAACTGCCAAGACTCCTGGTCTCTTAAAGGGAAAAGAATAAAACATAGGCAATCAAATCACAGCACTTGTCCAAATGTATTAGCCTTTATCAAAGAATGTTATAGACATGCTCTTTTTCTCTCCCTCCCAGAAGTACTTGGCACATAATTCATTAGAACGTTCCAACTTTGTAAATTCATAGTCCTGGTATTTGACTGCTACTTTGAGCAAAAATAAATACACCCCTTCCTCCCCTAAAGACCCACGTATGTGTCCAGATGCCAAATTCGGCAAAGCAGCATTATATTCTTTTTTTTTCAGTGGAACTGCACTGATAGTCAGACCATTCTTGCTGTAATTTTTTTTTGAGCCAAGTCTTTTCTTCATCCTTATATTTTAGTATCTGTTCTTAAAATCTCAGCCTCATAACTCTAGTGTTAAAATACTCTGTGGAATTGTCATTAATGATTTGATCCTACAAGGTGTCAAATTTATTGGTACAAGATACTAAAACACATGTATCAATTTAGGAAGCTAGTCTCAGATTTAAAATAAATGCTTTGTTGGATGCATGCTGGAATTCATAAGATTTTGCCAAGATCGTACTATAAATTGTTCTAATGTATTTTTATAAGCATGTTGAAAATAGTATGCAGAAAATGCCACAAGAAGTAAAGACTAGTTAGTGCATCAAAGTTCGGTTATCCCTGGCTCTTCGAAAGCTAGTTAGAGCTTTTTTCAAGTTGCCAAAATACTTAACTCTCTTCTGTAATATGCAACAAACTCAATATTTGTTTAGAAATACAGTTATGCACATACCAAATACTTTTGGTTTGAATTACATGTTTTAGGGAAAAACTGAAAACAGGATGAAATGTGCAGCATTTGAGACATCATCTTGAAAAGTTAAAAATATAAACTGTTTATGGCTTGCATCATGCCATTGCGTGCACTACTGTGTTATTTTGCCTACTGTTATTTCCCATATTTCCCATACTTGATTAATCTGTCAGCTTTAGGTGTTTGGATTGGAAGGCAAGCTACCCCAAGTCTTCCACACCTGCTCAAAATAAAAAGTGGCTGTCAGTACTATGACGAAGGGGAACACTTCACCTGTATCTGTGTTCTTATCCCATCACACTTCAGGAAGAGACTGGTTTTGAAGTTACACGTGTATTTGCCTGAAGCAAAGATGGTGTTTTATTCGTAGTCTGTGTATCTTTGACGAAAAGCATACACTGAATCTCTTACTGAAATGTGTTGTTCTCATATGCTGAAATAACTTTTAAATTTTTTTTTGTCATTATATTTTACTAGCAAAAATTATCTTGTGGCTTCACTGGGAGTCTTTTCAGAATGAGTTGGAATCCAGTTTAAGAAATACTTTCTCGTTCCCTGCACTGAAGACATAGCTGGAAATTATCGTTGGACTTGGAGATTAAATTACTAAAGAAAAAAGGAACTTTTGTATTTTAAATTACTAGTTTAGACCAGGCTTACAGGCAGGAACTAGGATTTCAGTGTAGTAGCCCTTTTAAAACGAATGCATGGTCATAGTCAAATTGATAAAAAAAATGTCTTAAGCCTCACTATATTTTTGACTTAATTGAAAAGGTGTGGGCTTTGGTTTTAGTTTTTGAAAAGTCCAAACAGAGAATCGTTATGGAAGCATGGCTCTTATTTCAGCCCCAGGGATCGGGTCAGAGTTAAAGTCAGGAGAAATAATTGTGGGAAAGCTTACATTGATAACTCCTGTGCTATAGCTTCCTACAACATCAGCGCTTTGTTTCCAAACTACTGTCTGTTTATCTGGCACGTGGTGTAGACCCTTGAAGAGTTAGATAAGCGTGCATATGCTTACAAGGGTTTACAATAGAATATATAGAAAGACTTAGCACATAAAAGCTGGTTTAGAGCATTAGCTTTGAAACTAAAAAAAAAGTGGTATTTTTTTTCTCTGCACAGCATGAAATACAAAATACGGAAGATATCCAAATGAACAATTTCATGGTTGCGCAAGAAACAGACCAAATCATGTCTGACATGCAGCTTGAAATGAAAAATGCTGTTATAAAACATATGTATTTTGCTGCAGTAAGTAACAATCAGTTAATGCTTTCTTAGCGTAAAATGTATGTTATTGAATTTATCTTTCATTATAGTACTGAGCTAATAAAGTAAGTATTTTAACATCTTTTGAAATAGTAATAATGCCTTTTAACCTGCAGTGTTTAATAATCCCATATTTACTACATCTACCATTAGCTAAAATATAATTGAGTAGTGGTAATTGGTAAACATGGGTGTGTGGAAGGCGTGGTGGACTACTTGAAGTCTTGGTATGATACATGAGATAATTAGTGGCTAATATTGTTCAGCAAAATGTCTTTGGAATACAATATTTCTATGACTTTCCTGTTACCTAGGTGAATTACACATTTTTAAAACTAAGTGTGTTGTAGAGCAAGTATTTTGTTGATTCATACGAATGTTTTTGATTACAAGTAAAAAGCAGAGCTAAATGCACTACTTTGTTTTAAAGTTGTTACATTCCTAATCCTGATAAATGTGCTACCTTAGTAATTAAAGACATTATTTCCTATCTAGAAAAAACAGTTACTTTGAGTTAGGATGTATTATCTGTAAGTTGCAGTGAGGCAGATGATGGTGTGTATTTTTGTAGGAGCTTGCTTACATGAAGCGCTATGATTTTGTAACTGCAAAATAAAGTCCTGTATGTATATTAATATAAGTTCTTAGCAGCAAAAGAACTGAAATTTTTAAGTCCTCGATGTACACAGTGTTTAAACACGAGATTTACAAATAGCTGACTCATGCCACTTAAATCTATACGCCTTCAAATGCTACGTCTTTTATCAGTGACTTTTTATCAAATCTCTACCCTCCAGACCTTTAAAAAAATAAATGTGTTGTTGACTTTTCATGTGTACTACACACAAATGCACTTACTATCAGATTATCTTTCCCTCAAACTATTACATAGTTATGTGCAGATGGGGTAATCGCAATTCCAGAGACAATCTCTCCTAGAAGACTGTTTTGGTAACATGTATTAATAAGATTTTAACACTAGGCCATAACTAAAGATAGCAATAATACTAATAGATTTTTGCACCTGCTTCCATATCTTCACATTGTAGGTATTCCATTGCAAGAGGAATGCAAAGGTTGTGTTTTACCCTAGAAAAAGTGAAAACAATATTTTTTAATGTGTCATCTAGTAAAACTGTCCTTACATAGCAACCACATAAACAACAAGAAGAGAATAACAGGAAAAATGGGCAGAAAAATTGCCCATATAATTTTAGGTCTCTAATCCTCTATTTCATAATTTTGCCATCCAAATATTAAAAAGATAAATAGGTTGCTATGTTGAATGTTTTGCTTGAACTGTGTTTAACAAAAGTTGCCATTTTGGGGGTTTTGTACGTTATTTGTTGAATATGTTTATTGGTATCTAGGGAGATTGACTTTATCCTGTTTTACAGGCTGTTAAGCACAGGTTTGCTCAAAAAGACCAGTTGAATAACTGCAGTCCAAAGGTAAGGATTCTCAAAAAAAGGGCATGTTGCATATGTGGAATTTTATTATTATAGGCAAACAAACTTTCTTGGTGAAATTAGCTATCAAAGAAACGTTTTAAAACATTTATGTTATCCAGAATGCTAATAAAATTATTAACAATTAGAGCATCATTGGAATATTGTTGAATTTTGTTTGTTCTTGCAGTGCTTTGGTTTGAGCTAGAACAGAACGAGTTCTCTGTTCAGTGATTTTACTTTTCAGCAAAGTCTCTTACAAGTGACTGCAGTTTCTGAAGTTAGCATATTTTTTCATACAGTGTCTGCTTCTAGAAGTTACAGTACTTGATGTTTGTAGTTACTACTAAGGAATGGGGTGCAGAAGGGCTTTTGCTTACACTATAGAAACCAAGGTCACTGCTAAATCTTGTGTGCTGTGTTGAAGTGCCATAAGTAAAAGGGTCATAAGCAAGTAAAAGGGTCGTAAGTAAGTGAAAGGGTCACACCTGCAGGGAAGAAGCGAGCCAGACAGGTGACCCAAACCTGACCAACAAAAGTCTTCCATTACTTATACATCATATTCAGTGTAAATGAGGGATCACAAGGGTCAAGTCCTCTTCTGCTATGGCCAGTGTCCAAGGAGGACTCTGTCTGTTCTTTGGCCTTTGATACCAATCCATGAATTCCTGCATCCAGTTTCTGAGTTGGGCTCCCATCTGCTGCTGAGTCCAGTCTGGGACTTTTCCCAGTGCCCACCCTGCAGCATCTGTAGTGACGTGGTTGGGGGAGTTCAATATTTGTTTTGTATATATTTCGTTATTTTCTTACTGTTTCATTAAAGCTGTTTTAGTATTTTTCCAACTTGTAACTCTCTCTCTCTTATTCTCTTTCTCTTCCCCTTCTGGGGTCTGGGGGTGGGGGGGTGTAATAGAGAGTGTCTGTCATTCATTTAGTGGCCAGCCCAGCCGTAACCCATGATATACTGTTAGAAGCAAAGATGCCCTAATGTGATTTAGAGCATCTTAAATTATTCAAGCACTGTATTTATGCAGTAGCAATAAAGAGAAAGTATACACACCTATTTGCAGTGCTCACCTGTTTTTGCTTGTATGGACAGACATCAGCTAAAGGTTGTCTCACTGTAGAAAGAAACAGGAGTTCTTACTTAAGCGTAAGCCTTAAACATCATCGTGCATGTTTCAGAGTCTACTGAAGCACAGATTGCAAGTAGAATGCATTATGTTTTCCAGTCCTGTTTTCATATTTACTTTGACTTAATCTCTTTTTTTTATCCTATTTGGTTAATTTTTCATTTTTTCTTCCCATTAAACCAAATATATGCAATAAGTCAGGTACAGGTCAGCACAAGGTTTTATTAAGTTTTCGTAATATATCTTTAGTAAATAAATACTTTCAAAATTTTCCATTTTCTATCTATAATCCTAAGAATAAGTCTTTAAATAAGGTTGAAACATTTCCTCGTAATTTTTAAAAAGCATTATACGTAGTAGCTATGAGCTACTGTACTTTATATGGTAACTTGTGTTATTTAAAAGTTAAAAGGGGAAACACTTAATGAATATCTGTTAGCTTCCTGTATTTCTTAATAGCTGAGGATTTAGTATCTTCATGAGCTATACAACATAAATAGTTACTTGATCTGTAAATGAGGTCCCGGTCTGACAAAATGAGCTCTCAGGCTTCACAGAAATCTCTTTTTATCCAATTTCTTTCTGTTGGCACAGTAAGGAAGGGAGGAGAAAAGTATTTTTAAAACATGACCACTAAAATGCCTTCATCATTGTCCGACACTACGATTAGTAGGCAAAACGCTGCATGCATTTCTGTTACTAAAAGGATTTACATTGAAGTTTAATGTTAATGTTTAGTTTATTTATAGGAAAAAAACCTTAAGCTTTCCTAACACATGTAAGCCAAAATTGTTATTCTCTATTCTTAATAATACAATTTTTTTTCTTGGAAATTTTAAACCTAGTTCTATTACTTTTCTTATGCATGACTTGCCACTGCCTTCCGTTGCTTTGTGGAATGTCCGTTGCTAGCCTTTGCATCTGATATAGCACTGCTATACGCAATATATTTACACCTTTTAAAAACAGCTCCAATAAATATTTCAAATAATACTGATGAAGTAAAATGAAACCTATGGACTAAATTAACAGATTAGAAATACATACTAAATTCAGTCATCTCCATTTGCATCTCCTAGGATGGCTAAACTCAGCCAAGTGTTCTGTTGTCTGTCTTCTTCCTTAAAATATTTATTTCTCTTTTGTCAGCTTCTCTTTCACATATGGTGTGTTTTATATACAAAGAATATAAATTCTCTGAATATAAAACACAGCTCATTGTCTGTGGACCTTCATTTTTCATTTGTTTCTGCTGGAAGTTTTAATGCTTGTACCAGCAGTGCTTCACAAGAAACTGCTAGTTCCTCGTCAGCCAAAATGTGAGCCAATGCAGCTTTGTACAGCTTACTGAGTATTAAGGCCCTATAATAGGTGTCTTCTGATAACTGAAAAAAGTTCATTACCTCAGTTTTCAATCATCCTTCCTTACCCCTTACAATTAAGCTGAAAACCAGTTCTCCATTTCCTCTCATCTTGAATGCAATGCAAAAGGCCTCACGCTTTGCCAAAACAGCTTTGTTTCAGTATGCTTTCGAAATAATGCATCCATGCTGCTGTTTCTTCTAGTACTGGAATTTTCAAGAGAGACAACTTTCAATCACAATGTAAAAAGACGGATGCTGGTACAATCACCAGATGAGGGCCAGTAGTAACAGGCTTGTACATGCACAATATACTGAGTTGTCTTCAAACATCTTAAATCCAGGCGACAGAGAAGTTGCTCTTTGACTGCCATTAAACAGTTTATGATTGCTCTTTAGATGTGCTGTTTGCATATAATTAACATTACAAAAGTATGAATGCAACCATTATTTCCAAAGGAAATAGCGTGAAGATTTTAATAGTGCATATATGAATGAGAAAATTAAAATAAATGTAAGTTGCGAACACCAGATGCACAAAGACTTGATTAAAAGAAAATTGTCTAGATGAGCAGCTTTGTTTACTGTTAATGTAACAATGGCGTACATTAGGAGTCTGAGAATTGAAACATTTGCAGATAAACTAAATATCTAATGTTGAGGTAGAGTTCATTCACTGAGACTTTAGCTGTGATTTAACTATGATTATAATTTCTTTCAAAAGTTTTTTCAGGTTTGACCTGAGCTGCTAATGTTTCTAGTTTATAACTGAAACATTTCTAGAAACTGTCTCACTAATAGTGGACTGTGTAGACCTCAAGACCACAGTTGGACTCAAAGTCTGTGTTAATTTAAATTTTAAAGTAATTTTAAAACGAATGGTAGGATGTCTTAAGTAGCTTGTATCTAATGCACATTAGAAGCCAAGTTTTTTGACAGAGATCATGAAGTCTACAAGTTGACAGGGACTAAAGCAACGATAAATTTATGTAACTGTTTAATTCCCAGCAGTCCAACCAGTGATCTCCCTGACTCTGCTTTTCAGTTGTGACTCCCTGTCTCAGTTTCTTTGAATTTACAAGAGCCTTAGGCTGTGTGGTCAATGAAATAGCTGGATTTCAAAACAGAAGGTACCAGGCAGAGGAAAGGGGTCCTTCAGTTAGCAGTAGAGTTGCTCATGGTTTGTGCCTCTTAGCTTTGGCTTGAACCTGGACTAGGGGAAAGATGTAAACAGTGCTGTAGCTGAGATCGTCAGTAGCTCCTCTTTTATACCATTAATCTGTGGAAATAAAGGTTTGGAAAGGTGAGTGTGCAGACAGTAACAGGGAAATTGCAGGGCAGATAGAGCATTTCATGAAAGCCATTAGATCCTTCTGGGTCCTCTGAAACCTTGCAAAGTTAAGTGTTTTGCTGTCATAAGTGGTAGAGAGTAAGAAGGAAGCCCTGTGCCATTAAGATCTTCAGAGTTTTTAGATCTGCTGGGATCAATACCCATGCTGTCTGTAGCATTAGCTGCTTCTCTGACATGCTATAAGGGAATAGGAGAACTAGAGAGATAAAAGTTATGTGGTTTTTGATTTTAAGTGTGTACTCATCAATGATTTATTTAATGATTTTTACGTTTTTCTTGCCTTTTTTTTTTTTTTTTTTTTTAGCTGTTCAGTGGTACTACTTATGTTACTGCTCCAGCCACATACTGTGGGATGTACTCTGCACTCTTGGAAATATTAATGCTCCTTTGCATACTTTTCCAGAATAAATTACAGACAAGCTACTGAGTGTGTGAATTGTAATTTGTTTTTTAAAAGGGTAGATATATTCAGATCTTGTAAGAAGAGAAGCGCATTCTGAAACCTACTATCTTTTCAGTGAAAGCCCTGTAGTGAAATGAATGCCTTTCTAGGTGACAGCAGCCCATTGGATCGGGCAATAAGTAATATTTCTGCTTTGATTTATAACCTTCTTCCTGTTTTATTATATTACCAACATCTTACTTGGAGATTTCATGTTAGTTCTTGTAAGGGTTTGTTTTTGGTTTTTTTAATTAAGCTGTTCTTTTATTTACAAAGACATCTCATTCCTAGGTTAAAAGTACTGACTTGTCCAGAGACACATGGTATATACTTGAAGGCTTAATGGAAGAGTATTTATTTGATGATGTGATCACAGAACTTGCTGCTGAACAAAAGTACTCTAAACCTCCTGTGCAACTTCTTCATTCTCTTCTAGAATATGCTCTATTGGTGAGAGATGGAGACTATAGTATTATAAATACTAAGAAATTGAAGTAGTATGATCTTTGCTTCTGACATAGTATTTAGTGGTTTGTAGTGATGTATTCACACTTCACTCTATGTTCATCAATGTGTTTGTGTTAAAAAAGGGAATAATTTAATACTTAAGGATTTTATTTATTTATGAACTGTATGCATATCGTGCTCTTATTACATTGTGGAAGAATTGGCCCAGAATTTTTTTGTTGCTTTCAGAATCAGCGCTTTTGCTACTTTTGTTTTGTAACCTAGTGGGCCACAGATAGAGAGTGCAATTGAGAAGAAGGTTTGTTACAGGCAGTGATACATTCAGCTGGAATATCACACTAGAGCAAGCTCTCATTGTTTCCTTCCTATTTTTCTGTAAACTCTGAATTTTCCTGCTTGTAGTTACGAATTAAATTGCATGTTACTTCACTAATTAAATTTGGTCACTTGGGATTGTAAGGACTAAAGAAAATACATAAACTCTTAGCGATTATGGATCTTTGCCCAGTATGGAGCCAATATTATTTTCTCATTTTATTACAGGAACATACTGATGCAATTTTTTATGCTAAACTTCATGATATTTTGTCCCTTGTTCTCCAACAAGATCCTCCTTGGAAGTCTCCATCTATGTTAAAGTATTATTTTGATATTCTTCAGTGTCCTATCTGTAAGAAGGGCACATGGCCTTTCATAGAGATGCTTGTAAGGTAAGAAAGTTTAATGAGGTGATGGATGCAGTAGTTGTGTTACTCCAAACTCGGGACGGGGGAGAGGGATACAGTGCTGTTGTGTCAAAGTCACATTTTCACCAGTGCAAGTTAACTATTATGTGAAGGTCTAGAATTGTAACTTGAGATTTGGACCTTTCGCTATGTTTCTGTAGGTGTTAGCGCACAGGCAGAGGGGTGGGGTTTTCTGAAAAGGAAAAAATGTATATTTTCTTGTCCTCTTCCTCTTTTTAAAAATTATTTTTTAATCTTTTCACAAATTATAATTATGTATTATTGCATACATATTTCGTGTGTCTGTGTGTATGTATGTATATATATATACACACACACAAACATATGTATCTGCAGTTGGAAAGGAAATTCCAGTCTTGTCTTACAAAGGTGAAGCTTCATGTTGTATTTTGATTTTAATCATAAACTTTACCATCTTGTTCAGGAAGTCTGATTATGCCCTTACATCTACAAATACAAGACTCGGTACATAGGAGCTGTTTGGGTAGTTAGTCTATGCTTTAGCTTGAGAACGCAATTTTTGTAATTTGTATCAATAGAAAGTAATTCTTCCGTTCATTTGGAAGAGAAATGTTACCTCTTCTAATTACTGTCGTAAAATCTTAGTAGCATTTAAATACTTTGATACAACCATGATTACAGATATATGAATGTGTATGATTGTAAGCATGTCTATAGTCGTGAAGGATGTTGAATCACTGTACTTGAATTACTGTAATCGGGGCATTTAATAGTTTTTATTAGAAAGATGTCACATAGAATGGAATAGAATTTATCTTTCAGCTCAGTCATTTTATCTTTTAGTACTTACTGGCAGAATGTGAATACCCAGCAGTTGTATACCTTGGTGGTCCATTACACAAAATTCTAGCCAAAAAAAAGTGTTTGCACTTTACTTCAACATTATCTTCATCATGTTAGACAATCGTTAGGCTTGATCACAAACTGTGGTCCTGTCAAACAGTACTGTGTGTAAGCTGTTATCTGAACTCAGGTTTGTAGGATATTAAATACCTATAAAATATTACAAGACTACCTTGTAACTGAAGGATTTTGAAGAAGTTCTGTTAATTTTAGTAATTGTACAGTACCTCAAGTAGAGACATAAAAATAAAATAACAGTTAAATTATGTAGTTTACACTATAATACAAAATCTTCATCTGTGACACAAAGCCCCAGTCACAAACATATTAATTGTTTTTTTTAAACACAACTTTAAAACCAGAAAGTTAGGCTTTAAAATGATCAGTGTTGCTGGGGAACAAGGTACGTCCTTGTCAAAATTGTCGCAAGTCAAAGATGACTTTTTTGCTGATAGGTCAGACTATGATTTCTGTCATACAAATGGATTTTTTGGTGTTTATTTTTCAGCTCTTGCCTTCATTGCAAAACCATTTGTCACGCAATCCCAGTTTCAGAGAAAGGAGGTGAACAGAGGATAGTTCACAAAACATTATTGAAGTTTTTCTTTGATTTAGTAAAAGCTGAAGTAGAGTTTCTGACAAAAAGGTGGGTTTTATAGGATAATACTTTCTCATTACTTTTTCACAATTTCACATGCATTTCTGTATCTACAGAAGGTTGTATCCTGATTTTTGTGTGTTCCTAATAAGATACTATTCTACAGAGATTCTGTAGTTTAGCGTTTCCTTTATATTTCTCGATTCTTAGTTTATTGTAATTTGTATATTTTTTTCTGATTGTGTTTTAAGGCCTCAAACTTTTTCCAGCCTATTATTTCACTATATTACAAATAACAGTAAGCATTTAGTTCTGCACATAAAGTTGTATTTTTAGCTTTGCCGTGCTTCAGTATTCATTCTTTTAAGATAGACAAACAGCATTTTGAACATCACTTGAACATTAATTTTTTTTTTTTTTTTTTTTGTTTAAATTCAGTTAACTGTTACCTTTTGCTAGGGAGACAAGTATCTTTCCTTAGTTTATGGAGTATAAGAAAAGTCTTCATTTTGCTCTGCCTTGGTATAGTAAAGTGCGGTGGGTTGGCCCTGGCTGGACCCCAGGTGCCCACCAAAGCTGCTCTGTCATTCCCCTCCTTAGCTGGATGGGGAGAAGATACAACAACAGGCTCATGGGTCAAAATAAGGACAGGGAGAGATCACTCACCAGTTACCATCATGGGCAAAGCAGACTCAACCTGAGGAAATTAGTTGCCAAATAGAAAGAGTAGGGTAACGAGAAATAAACCCAAATCCTAAAACCACCTTCACCCCACCCATCAGTTCTTCCCGGTCTCGCCTTCACTCATGATTTTCTTAATCTTCTACCCCTCCAGTGGCACAGGGGGACAGGGAATGGGGTTTGGTGTCAGTTCATCACACATTGTCTGTGCCGCTCCTTCCTCCTCAGGGGAGGACTCCTCGCACTCTTCCCTTGCTCCAGCATGGGGTCCCCCCCACAGCAGACAGTCCTCCACAAACTTCTCCAGCATGAGTCCTTACCACAGGCTGCAGTTCTTCACAACCGGCGCCAGCATGGGTCCCTTCCATGGGGTGCAGTCCCTCAGGAACAGACTGCTCCAGTGTGGGTTCCCTATGGGGTCGCAAGTCCTGCCAGCCAACCTGCTCCAGCGTGGGCT